TATATGTGTGTGTGTGTAGATAGACAGGCTTATTTACTGCAATCAAGCCAGCAGGGTTGTGATGGTGTTAGGAGACTGATAAAGATACACCTCTACACAATTGTATAGGGTGCAATAGTGTTTGGGCAAGAATCCAAGAGCTCCATACAACTTAATTTACCCTCAGAAGCCCGGAGTTCACATCGAGATGCGTGATACTTAAACTGGGATTTTTATTTTTGAAATCTTGATTACAGATGGGGGAGATAGATAGAGCCAAGGCTGAGAGGCTTGCCTTTAGTTGAGGGAATTCATGACTAGGATGAGATTAGAACCAACAATTTCCTGGCTCATGTTTGCTATTGCTGTGCTATAGCAGCTCTACAGGACAGGCTTTTCATCCTTGACATTAGGAGAACTCTTAAAGGTGCTGCTATTTTTTTTTTTGGAAATGTATAATTCAAGCAGAGAATAGATATGTATGAGAGTATGAGAGACTCACATCAGAGCTGACAGTGTTGAGAACAGGGTTGAAGTAGATTAAATTTGGGAGCGCTTTAGGGCAGCACATTTTTATAAAGGCTATTTTTAATTGCAAATAATAAAAACCTGCAGGTGGCAAGCACAGTTCCTCTTTCCATCTCTGACACATAAGGGAATACCTCTGAGACGCTTGCTATGATGCAGGCCACACATCCATCAGAAAAGAGTGTGCTTTTTGTTTCAAAACTGCTGTTTTAATGCATATACAGATTTGATTGACAGTGTAGCCCCTGCAGTGCAATGGGCTTCGAGTTGCACTGATGCAGTCAGGCTTAACTATGTGACAGCCTTAGCTGGAAGATGTCTTTCCCCCTTCTCTTAGGCTGAGTTCCGTATAATATGGGATGGAAGAGGAAGAGAACAAATATGAGTCCCGACTCAAGGATGTGTATGACAGCTGTGATACCACAGGCACTGGATATTTGGATAAAGAGGAGCTGACAGAGCTGTGCCATAAACTGCACCTGGAGAGACAGCTACCCTTGCTCTTGGAAACACTCTTAGGAAATAACCACTTGGCTAGAGTAAGTAGCTCCAATGCTTCTGCACATGAATGCTGTGAGAAATATTTCTGTAAGCCATTGTAACTCCATCCTCCTCCCCTTCCATTCATGAAATAGTTAGGCAGCCCCTCCTCATCCTCCCTATTTGGTCCTGTGGCTTTCTGAACCCCTTTAGCTCTGTCAAACATTCACATATGCTCCCCAAAGCATATGCTATGCTAAGTCACTTTTCTCGTACCTTGCAGTGCTTACTTACAGTCCGCAATCCTTGCCCCAGTCCCAGGTTGTCCTGACTTCACTTGACTCCTCATTCCCATTTCCTGTTATCCAAACTTTACCTGTCCTTCAAATCTTGCCATTCCTGAACATTAAAAGCAGTTGTTAGAGAAAAGCCTTAACTGAATATTTTTCTTTCCCAGATAGAACACAGGAAAGGGGGGGTCATACTAGAGTTTTGAAAACTCCCCTAACAATGGTGGACATTCTGGACTTTTGATCCAAATCAGTTGTTCCTGTTAATATATAATCCAGAAATCACTGCAAGCAAAAATGTAATCTAATATTCCTGGCATCTCTGATGTCGTCACTTAAAAAAACCCAACATAGTTATTCCGGCAAAGTAAAAATGATGGAAGCAGTAGGGATATGGTCAACTGTGAAATTTTCCGTGCCTGCTGTTTTGACTTACCACAGTATATACCACTTGTTTTGAAAACAAGAATATTAAGGTATTAAAAGATAGGGTTGAATGTTTGTGGGATATACTAGAATTTAAACTGATTTTGTTAAAATGTGACTTTCCTTCACATGTGACCTTATGTATCTCCTCCCCCCATTTTTATTTGAAGAGAAAACAAAATGGGATCCTGTTAATAGGGTATAGGGGTTAATGGTATAGGGATCCTGTTAATTAAATGAATATTTGTTGAGAAGAAATGAACCGATTCCACCATTGCAATTCTGTATTTACAGTAATTATGTTGTGGTTCTAAAAGATATAAAGAAGAATTGTTTGTCCTTCCGTTGTTGGAGGCTGAAGATACTGCTGTGTTCCACATTCTTTTTAATGCGGGAGAGGGCAAAGAGGCTTCTCTGATCTATCCTCAAAAGACTTTTTTAAATTGAAACCAAGTATCTGAGGCTGTGCACATATGTACATGCCATAATCCTGAAAAGCAAATGAGTATCTGATGGGTTCCCATCAAGTGAGTGAAATTAATACTTATGAGACCTCACTATATATTAGCAAAGTACTGAGGATCAGTCTCTGTTATCCATGTACCATGCCAGTCACTCTCCTGATTTGGATCTTCAGGCAGCACACATAGTTTTAATTAGAGTGGGTTCTAATACACACCAGCTGTTTTCCTTTCTCTCTTCTCTTGCCTTCCATTTTTCACTCGCAAGAAGCGTAAATAGGCTCTTTCATGTTTCCTACTTGATTTTCTAAGTAGTTTTGGAGTAACAGACTGAAAGGGGGATTCTGCTGGGAGATTTGGCATCATTCTGTTTCCTGTCTGCCCATTTTAGTTTTTCCCGCAGGAAAGGGAGATGATAGCTCAGCTTTCATCCCACTCTGGAACAGTCTTGTCATGGTACTTTTCACAGCCTGTCATCCTCCCAGGTTAACTTTGAAGAATTTAAGGAAGGCTTTGTGACCATACTGTCTTCAAGCATCGATCTTGGTGTTTCTGATGATGAGAGCAGCTACTTGGAGCCAGGTGGGTTTAAAAAAAGGTGAGGTTTGTTGGGTTGCCTGATTAAGGCCTTTCATTAAGATGTGGGTTAACCGCTAAGTTAAAAATGTTATAGAACAGGGCTGCTGCTCAACCGGTGCTTCTACATGAAATTGTCAATATGTACCGATCCTTCCTTGTTAGGAATATCACTGCTGTTCCTTCAAGTGGCTCATTACAGCCATGTTCCCATGTGCAAAGCAATCCTAAAAGCTGGGTAGTATTTCCAGCACTATCTCTGCCTTGTATAAATAGGTGCACGCTTTATGTTAAATGATAAGGATTGGCCCTGTCTAAATGGGATTAATGTCAAAATACACATTTTTTGACTCAGGAGGCAGTGGGTTTGAGTGTTAGAATAGGACACAGAGGAGGAGAGAACTTCCCTGGGTTACTTGGAGGAGGTACAGGATAAAAATGTAATAGGTAGAATAGGTACTCCTTTGTTGTGCCTTCTCTGGCTCCTGCTCTAGTGCAGCAGATGTCAGAAAGAATGTTAGGATATCTTGTACTTTGCAAAACCAAGGAAGGTGCAGCATAGGAAGCAACCTAATGCCATTGCCAGCATTTAAGTCTTGAATATCCTGTGATAGCAGTGGGGGAGAACAGGAGGTGCCTGTGCCATGTATATACGTGCTAGTTTCTGTCTCACTTTTATCATTCCTTTCCTCTAAGAGGTCTAGGGTGGTATGCAGTTCTCCCATTTTCCCTTAACTTCATGGTAAGTTGGGCTGAAAGTAATTAGTCCCGGCAAACCTCATGGCTGGATGGGAATTTGAACATAGCTCTCCTCAGTCCTAGTGTTGTACATTAATCGCTATACCACACTGGTCCCCAGTTGATTTCCTAGTTCTGTCAACCAGATAACTTCACACTTGATGGTGTTGCAACTTAGAAGTTAGTTAAGCTTCTCAAATGGTGGATTCAGGCTTGTCAGTTAATTGTAGATGGCCTGTTGGGATGATGGCCGAAGGTCTTTGAGGTCATGCATGATGAACTTAGACTCTGGATCAGACACTGGTACAATACAAGATCTTGGTTGGTGAACCATTCAGTGCTCAGATCTTTTTCTAGACGAGCAGCAGGTCTCTTCTGCTACCGATCTAGAAAAACTTCTGAGCACTGAAAGGCTTAAAATGTTTTCTGACCAGCATTAAAGTGCAAATAACGTTTTCTTTTTATATGAATATTCATTTCTAGAATGTGGGAATATCAGCATTTCCATAACATTGTCTGGATCTGTTGACCTTGTGTGTGTGTGCATTTATTGCACTATGTAAACTAAACAGACGTCCTGCCTTTAGTAGAAGTGAGAGAGTAATACTAGGTGGCTCTTGGCTGTGGTCTCCTTGGATGGTCTTGCACAAGAAACTGTTGGCCTTCAATTAAACAAGAGTAAGACAAAAATACTGTGCAGGTTATGAAGTTCTCATTGTATGTTAACTTTGATATAAAAATATGCAGTTAGCTGATTAAAAATAAACAAATGGGAAAAACAAACATCAGGACTGGGAAGAGAGAAACAACATGACTCATTCAATCCTTGTATCAATAGTAGAATCTTTTTTGAACTCTCAGTTGTTCCAGAAGAAGTGAAGCCCAAGTATATCAATGGAGCCAAGTGCTATGGCCGCCGGACAAGACCAGAATTCCAGGGCACCAAGTTAGAAACCTCCAAGTATTTACAAGAACAGCAAGCAAAAGCAAATATTAAAAGCCAGTTGAGACGCTCAGCATCCTTGGAGAGCGTGGAGGTAAGTCTGACTCATCCACCAACTATTCACCAGCTAGCTAAATTGTACTGAACTTATTTGGCTTTTACCAAGTATCATTTTTAACAAGAGGGAAAAAATTAAAAATCCCATAAGCTTTTTAATGGAAGGGCAGGGTAGAAACTTAATTTTTAAAAATTCAGTGGCTTGGAAGGGCAGCCTCTTTAAATATCTGGGGCTCTTCTAACTGTTCCAATCTTTACTGTTTAATCATGAAATTACAGAAGTTTAGTTAGCATTCAGTAGCCCATTTTCAGAGTTTCAAATTCAGCTGTCTACTCCTGCTTCTAAGCGAGTGGCATAAAGTGGTAATGAATCCAGTGATATAATTTTGAGAATATTGACAAATAATGTAATTGACAAAATAAATACTAATAAATTATCAAAACCTGCTTGTCTGAAACATTAATTGAAGATAAAATATTCTTTCTAGGCTGGTGGGGGAGAGAAATGCTGGGAACTTGGCAGCTTCCAAAATGTCGTTCGTAACTTCACCTTTGCTTTGGTCCAAATGTTCTTTTTGCCATTTCCCCTGAAAGCTATACTTTGTACCCTGGATAAAAAATTCAGTCCTTCACTTTGCAGAGCCTTAAATCAGATGAAGATGCTGAAAGTGGTAAACAACCACTGCGTGAGCTGTTTGACAGTCAAGGTAAGAAAGATTCAGATTTATTTTAGAAAAATATTTGGACAGAACTCTTATTTTAAAAACATACACAAAACACAAGGGAAGTGGCAGAAGCTCAGTGGGGTTTTATCAGGATGCAGGTGCTGCAGACCTTTCTCTGCCTGCAGCCTGGTAAAGTTGCTGTCAATCAAGGTACCCAATATTGAACTAGATGGACAAGTGATCTAACTATGGATATAAGGCAGTCACATGATAAGTATGGAAGGTGAACTTCAGCCTATCAATACTTCGCTAGTTCTTAAATTTGTAAAATTGAAGCCATTCTCTTTCCTTAAATTGAATATGGGATCTGGGCTTCAATTACAGCCTGGGGAACTGGGTAGCTTATTGTATCTGAAAGTTGCATAATGTGGAGATGGAGAGCTGAAGCTGTCTTCTGGGTAAGCACCTCTCTGAGTAGACAGACTGGGCCTATACCAAGAAAGACGGGTTTCCTGTTAGATCCCCAAACTGGCTTACCTGGCTGTCAGGCAGCAACTTACTTGCTGAGTTCATTCTAGAGAGGGGCAATACCAGTCTTTGTAAGGGTTTCCTCCCTCTTCCTGTTTCTTAGTTAAGGCTGCCTGGAGGTATTGAGGCTTAGCAGGCAAAACCCTGAAGCTGGGGTTGAGTAGGCAGGAGAGGCCTGCTCCTGTAGAAGTGGACTTCCTCATACCTGGGGTTCTTTCCCACACTACTTCCCCTTCCAAAGTGAGGAGAAGGCTTGATGCATCAGCTGAAGAGCAGGCTGCCCCAGGTCTAGCCTCTCTTCCCTGTCTCTGGCTTGGGGGGGGGAAGCTTGGCTTTAGTGACCCGCCTCAATGTGTCGCTTGACCTCTTAGAGCTTCCTGCTCTGGACTTGTGGTGGCTGCTTCCGTTTTGAAACCTGGAGTCAAAATTCATAGTAAGTGGTAAATTCATAGGAAGTAGTAAGACTTTAGGGTTGTCAGGTCCTGCGTTTTCACCAGCGGTGGGTGGGAAGGAGCTTTCTGGGAGTGGGGAGTGGGGTGACATCATGCGGAAGTGACGTCATTACACCAGGGACGTTGTGTGGTGACGCTCTGGTATTTTGGGCAAAACTCTGTGGTTACCATAGAGTTTTGTCCACAATACCAGCATGTCGCTGTGCGATGTCCCTGATGTGATGATGTTACTTCCGTGTGACATCATAATGTTGGGGATGTCATGCCAGGTTGTGGCAGGGAGCCCACAAAATCGGGGGTCCCTCACTCCCACCTAGGGGCTAGGAACCCTACTGCCCTTTGTTTTTCATCTCATAATGTTTCCTTCTGCAACTGAGACCCTGCAGATGTTGTTGTAAATGATGCCTGGTTGGATGCCTGGAGATTAAAGTGTACTTGGTATACCTGTCCAAAAGAATTCCCAGACCAGCGGCAATGAGATTCCTATCACGTGGGCTAGACTTAGGGTTGGTGAATAATGGATGAATTAGTTTGAAAAGTTAACACTTAGAAAAGAAATTAAAACATTCTTTTAGGACTGAGTCAGACTTCCAGTGAAAAGTTTGGCTGTTTGCACATGTAGCTCTTCTTGATGACTTGTGGGCTAATTAGTACAAAAATACCACTTAACTAGTAGAAGTCTAATATTACAGGCCCAGTGTGCCCCTGGGATGATGATGAATATGATGGCCCCCAAAAGACCTCTGGCTCTTACTTTGACATGACTGAGAATCAGGTTCGGGACATCTGGGAAGACCTTGGAATAGGAAACAGTGGGTACCTTGACAAGCAAGAGCTGGCTACTGTCTGTAAGAACATTGGACTCAAAGAGCTGGAAAAAGAGGTGGGTTAAGCACGACTCCTGGTAACTATCCTCTCTCAGAATCTGCATGGCCTGTCAATGTGAAAATGGTGGTTATGCATAGAAGATTGACTATGCCAGTAGCACATTTCAAGTGTTCACAGTACTTGCACATAACTATCTTGGTAATCTTCACAGCACCCCTGTATTGTATGCTAGCATTATTGCTGTGCTTTGCAAGTTAATCACGAGAGTCCACTCTCATTAATTGTCTTCTGCCTCCCCCTTCCCCATGTCCATTTATGCAGGGGCGGCAGCAGTGCCACAATAGCCTTTGCTTAGTCAGGAGGTCCAGGGTGCAATTACTTACCTTGAACCTTTAACAGTAGGAGAGGAAGCAGTGATGCTAGTATTGGAACAACTGTTCCCTCGTTGGCAGTAACAGGATTGCACTGTCAGTACATCATCACAGCTGGTGTAGCATAGTGGCTGAGCTGGAACTTTGAATCAGAAAGTCTGCAGGTCAGATCTTGCATCTGTCACAAACTCACTAGGTGAACATAGGCAAGCCAGTTTCTTTGACTCAGTCCCCTATCTTCCATATGTATAATGCCGGCTTTATCATATGCTGTTGTAGGGATTACAGCAAGCTTATTTGTGAAGTGCTTTGAACAATTGAAAGAGCTATGAAAATGTCTTTTAAGAGTCTTGTCAATTTACTGGGGTTTTGGATCAGCACAACCTGATGGGCTGTTTGCTCACAAAGCCCACCATGGGCCAGCTGCTGGTTCCATTGAGTTAAAAAGTATTTCTTATTCCAGGGTCCAGTATTTAGAAGATGGAACACTCAGGTTATGTGTTTGTTAAGAAGCAAGAATGAACTAATAAGAGCTGTCCTGCTTCCAAGGACATCTGGTAGTTATGCCAGATACTGAATACAGATTAAACTTGCCTTGAGTACAAAGTGTTAGCCTTTGTTCCTTGGAGTGAAATGGTTTAGTTGTGATGTTTTATTTTTTTAATGGTGTTCTATAGGAACTTGAAGAACTATTTAATAAATTGGATAGTGATGGAGATGGCAGAGTAAGTTTTAAGGAATTCCATCTTGGCTTGTTCAGCCACAGCCCCATTCCTTGTCCAGTGTCTTCCACGCCTCTCAAACCCAAATGGCAAAGGTTGCAAAACTATCAGGCAAGTCAAAGCACTGTTCCTTTTTAAAAATGTTTTACGAAGGCTGTCAAATAAAGTTGATACGTTTTGGTTCACTTAGCTTAGGTACATGTGAAGACGCTTTGTCAAACCGATTTCTTCTCCTTTTTAAAAATGTTTTAATAAGGCTGTCAAAGTTGATACGTTTTGGTTCGCTTAGCTTAGGTACAAAGTTTTGTGAAGACGCTTTGTCAAACCGATTTCTTCCTGTTCTTTCTTCAAGGAGGTTGAGGGTGGTATAAATGATTCTCCCCCTTCTTCCGTATGATAACTTCCATGAACCCCTTGAGATAAGCTAGAGAGGGTGAATGACCTGAGGGTCTCTCAATGAGCTTTGTGACTGTGGGCCAAAGTAAAGATGCAGTTTTACCACAGGTCAGGTGTGGATTCACCCAACCTGACTCTCATACACTGAAGAGGTAGTTGTTGCAAACTAATTTCCCAAATGCCATGGGAGCCTGACTTGGACTATAACTACGGTGTGCGGGAAGGAGGGGCTTCTGCCTTCCCCCATGCCATTTTCCATACTTGTAATGATGTGGGGTGATTATTTGCCCGTTAGAGGTCTGCATGTGCAGTATTCAGACCCAATTTATGAAAAATGTTGTTTCTAGCTTAGCCCTAAGTGTGCATTTAATCCAGGTATCTCAAGTTGTGGTTCACCATACTAACTACTACACCATGTGACTGTGTTTTTAGCTGCCTACAGAATTAGTTTAGGGGCAAGTGATGCACTGTATTTTTGGTGCTTGGGGGGGCAACAGTGGGGGGGCTTCTAGTGTCCTGGCCCCACTGCTGGACCTCCTGATGGCACCTGGTAGTTTTGGCCTCTGTGTGATAGAGTATTGGACTGGATGGGCCATTGGTCTAATCCAAAATTGGCTTCTCTTATGTTCTTATGTACTACCACGACTCAATGATGTTGAGGTTGTTGCTTAAAATATAATGTTGTGCAATATTGAGCTTG